GTTGAGAAATTATTCGCACATGGTGTTTACGCAAACCTTTCATTATTTAGTATCTCCACCATGCAAAGCCTCAAATCTTACTTGTATTCACAAGTTGCAAAAGAAAAAAGAAAAGAGGGAAAAAAAAGGGGCAACGCAAAATTCAATCGCTCATAAATGCAAGTCACCAGATGACACAAACTAAGAATTAAAACGTCAATGCCAGCTGTCCAAATCCTAACTACAAGAAAAAAAGTGCCTGAACTTGTCTTTACTAGATTATGCAGAGAAGTGGCATTTGAGGTTTTACACAGAAAAAAACCCCTAAAAACTTACTTTTAAATTATAAACAAAAAAAGTAATCTGAGTTAAGTAATTTTTTTTTTAAATTCACCTCGGAACATAATATCTATATACATATATAGCTGTTTAAAGGTTTAAAGATATAGAAATAGGAAAAAAAAAATCAGATCTCCACAGCTGTGTTGATTTGTAGATTTTTTTTCCAATTTCAATTTCTCTAAACTTTTAAATTGTGTTGTTTTTCGCTCTCCGTGCAGACGTTTAATGTTTACTTCTGCCCGTGTTTTAGTCGTCATAAGCTCCCGTCGTCCAGTTTGATATCTATGCTCTTCATGGATTTGCGGACCGTAGATTCCAGTTTCTTGCGCGCCCTTCTCTCGTCGTCCAGGTCACGCTTGAGCCGTTTGGTCTCGTCGACGAGATCTTTGACTTGGTCGCGGAGGGCGTAGACGGTGTCAATCAGACTCCTAGTGAGAGAGAGAGAAATTTGGGAAGAGGGAAGAAATTGGAAAAAGTTGAGTGGCTTGATCGATGATCAGTAGCATAAACTATGTGATAAAAATACACAATTGTACACCTTTACTATTTTCGACCAATCTCAGCACGCCGTCACTTCTATTGCAATGGCCCCCTTCAATGGCGAAAGCATTGTGCTAGCTACTGCTTCAGTAATCCATCATAGGGCAGTAGCTCTGCAAAGTAACTGGCACACAGCTTTCGCCATTGATGGGGGGCTCATGAGTGTACTGTGATCAAGTGTCTGGATTTGTCTATAAACCAATCCAGTGATTACCACTGACTCAACAACTTTAGAAGCCATTAACCCTAATTCCCTAGCATGATTTACTAGGAACCATACCCATCCTGGTAAATTCCAACACCATATGGGAAACTGCACACGCATATTCCTGGTGGTGTGCCAACCCAAGGTAAAAGACTGTCAGTTTTTAGGGGTACTGTACCCATCCTGACAGATTCCAACAAAACATGCTGTTGGGGTTTGATGGGTTGAGTTCTGTTAGGGTTAACGGGGTGGTGTCACGCCCACCAAATGTCGCAGGCAATTTAACGCAGGCATGTAATTGAGAACCTTAGGTGCACTGATTGCGCATTCGCTGCCTACACGCAGACCTTGTTACATCCCAGTGATGGCTTCTGATTTTTGTCAGCGGATTAGTCTTAGGACTCTGTGTGCAAGTACTCCCTCAACGGTAGCAAAGGGAGAGTTTGGGGAGGCCACTCGTAAGGTCTCCTGAATCATGCTGAAGGCGCCCGACGCTCATGCGAAGACACCAATACGAGTTTGTTCAGATCTAGAAAACAACTAATAGACCTTTATCATGACTATTTCAGTCATGTTCCCTGTATCCAATAACAGTACTGAATGATGTTTTGTTTTTGTGCAAAAAAGAAAGCAGATTATTTTTCCTTCCAGCCTCGCTTTGGTTACGTTGATTTGAATGGGAAAAAATCAAGATGGCCGCAACATGATAATGGTCTATTGTGCCCACTATGCGCTTGAACCAGTACACACGTCCTACATGTATGTGTCACTCCAATGGAGCTCTCGAAAGCGGCCAAAAAGCACCATCTCTTGTTCAAACGCCGAGTCCATGAGCTGGCTCATCGCGCTCAAATTTATGTACGATCAAGACTGGAGAATTTTTACTTCGGGATAAAAAATCTGCCGTTATGTTTGCAAAATCATACACGTCAATGTAGTAGTTGAGTCTATCACAGGTCCATCAAAAGTCACTCGGTCTCAAGTCAAGTCACAAGCTATTCAAACAAACCATGACAAAGGCATTCCTTTGTTAGGCCAAAAAAAAAAAGTCTCCGGTTTCTGGTATGGAGCTTGCCCCAAAAGTGGTGCGGCGACGCGGCTTTTCTTTTTTTTTACCTGTTTTTTTTTTTTTTTGTGGCTTCAAATGTCGGCCGATGACTGCAAATGGCGCCCGACTAAACTTAGTGCAAATATATGGGAGTCCAGAGAGGCCACATAAATCTTATTCTCGATCATAACCCCATCTAAAAACACGTTAAAATTGTGCAGCAGCAGAATTCCAGTCAAACCAGTGAGTTTGGCGGTTTTGAAACATCATTGTATTGAAAAAAAAAAAACTTTTTCATTTTGCTGACGCGCATGGCTACGGCGACGCGCGCGCATACCAGAAACCGGAGACTTTTTTTTTTTGGCCTTATTGTTCACTCCCTGTTATCTGCTACCGGACGTGTGATGGACTTGTAATGGACTGGACTACTACATCGATGCAGTGGATCAAGTACTTTGAATAAATGTTCTTCTTGAACATGACAGACAAGAAGTCACATGAACATCAATTATTCTCATTTATTCCTGCAGCACTTGAGTATTTCTGGGTGTGTAACATCGTTTTTGTTTCTAACGTTCTGGTTCTCAGTTTTGTAGAATATAAGACCTGAATGCAAGAAAGTTGAATTCATAACCGAAGTGTAAATATGTCTACAAATTGCAATATTAATAGATATTTACTTTTGACATTGGTTAATTCACATATTTAAGAATAAATTACTGAGCCTTGAATTACTTAAGAATTATTTGACTGAGCCTAAACTTACTAAATTTTAACCCCCATTATGTAAATTGCACTGAGCTAGTTGACATGGAAATGTACCAAACACAGAAATCGTTTACTTAGCAGTGGAGGCTACGAATTTTAAATGTTGCACATGTGACCTTTTTAGACCAATGAAACTGAATAATCCAAAACATGACGTAACAATAATGTACATACATTTCCTTACGGGCTAAACTGTATTTTGTAACTCTCAGACCCTCATGCTTCTGGCAAACACATTCTCGTCAAAAACGTCACCGTTCTGCCGTACCAGAAATATGCAAAATCAGCGAGCAATGCAGGGCAGCTCAATCGCAGAAAAAAAAGCGGCCAGACAAAAAAATGGACAGCCGCAGCTTCGTTCAAGCTCTGCAAGCGTCTGCGGTCAACTCGTATGTATCAGTACGTACCTGGTGACGTCGTTTGACAGTCCTCAGTATGTTCTTGCAAGCCTACACAATGGATTTGGCATAAACAGGAAGTGCTTAGGATTTTGGGAAGGTTTCGGTCGGCAATTGAGGCATGACAGTACCTGGCCAATGCAAAGCATCGTGCAATTTCAAAAAAACAACCAAAACCCAAAAAACAACTTTCAGCCCTCAATGCAACATGCAAAGATGCTTCTGTGACAATGCTTTGTGAAAACATCTTGTTGGCTTTAATTTCAACCTACATGTGACCTTAAACCCATAAACTCCTTCATGTCCTTAGGCTATTTGTAATAGGATAATACCTGGATCCATGAAAACCCATCAAAATCCTACATATGTGTAGTCTTAAAACTATGAATAAATCAGTAACTGTGGCTAGGCTGAACCTTTCGGAACAAAAGCTTATGGATTCTAATTGGCCCAGGGAAGCAGTGGTCAAATAAGACCAACAAAAAAAATATAAGAATTAACAAACTTGCAGAAAACCAGCTCATATATTATCCATTTTTTGGTTGGTGATTTATTTCCTGTGTATGCATTGATCAATTTCTTGAAGTTCAAAACCGAGCAAATAAAAAGTTATAATAAAAAAAATTGAACTTGCCGAAATTTTATCCTTGAATTCCTTAAAGTAGTATCAGTGATGAACATAAAGAACAATCTCCATAAAATAAAAGAGACTCCGAAAATTAACCGACTTCAGTCAAATAACCCTAGTTTCAAGGGGCTTCAAGCCCCCTGCAATATAACAGTGGCTGGGCTCTACCAGCATCAATCCAAAAGAAATCCTCCACTGTGTATGAAACCAACGGCACACTCTTTGCACAGGTCTACAAAGTTTCATGAGGCATCAAACCCTACCAGTATGTACTGTGATAGTGGTAGGGCTCTACCGTCCTAAATCCTACAAAATCCCACAATGTGCAAGAAACTCCTGATATCAGGAAAAATTGTGAATAAAAATCCTGAAATCAGGTAAAAATCCTGACCAAACTCACTCCTGGAGTTAATCACAATAACTGAATTACAAAATTATAAACTAGAAGACATTCTCCAAATTAAAAAAAAGATGCAAAAAAAGAAAACGAAAAAAAAAAAGGAAGGAATTTGCAAGGCAGGGTGGGATGCATTAACGCATGCGTCGTGCCGGTGTTACCTGGAAAGGGGGTGAACGACATGCGCGATTGAAGGTGCGCATAAAGACGTCCCAAACACTGTGGGGAGAGAGCGAAGAGGGTGGAGGGAGGCTGAAACAAAAACAAAAAAAACCAGGCCCCGGGACCGGACGGGGAGAAAAGACAATTGAGACAGGGGAGTTGTTTTGGAGCAAGCGGTACTTTCCTTGCTTTCCATACACTATGTGACCCGGGTTCGAATCTCGCCCTAGTCGACATGTGGATTATGCTTTCAGTCCATGCCTGATTCTGTGGGGATTCTCCTCTGGTATATATCATTCTATGTTTTCCTCAAATCTAAAAATCCGAATTAATTTTTTTTTTTTTGGGGGGGGGGGGGGGAGTAATCTTTCTCTACGTTGATTAAGGGTTCCAAGCTTAAGGTGCCTTTTAAATTATGAGGACCATTTCATTACATTATCAACTGAAAATTAAAATCAACCCAAAAAAATTGTAGGAGTAAGAGGGACCGTTGTCGGTTGGTTCTACGCAGTGTCTTTCCTTCACTTTATACATCTCGTGAACAAAAGCCTAAGGGGTTTAATACAGAATTCATGCGAATGTTGCTGTATTTGACTAGCCTTGGTCAATGCTGTCGTCGTTATTCGTCACGTACGCGGTCAATCGTCGGCATATATCCTCACGCGCTATGTACATGCATGTAAAATTACAGCGCGAACAGCGACCTCACGCAGCCACTATTTTTATATGCAAATCAGTTGGGGACGATCGAGAGCCTTGGTTCAATCGTCCATGTGAGGTTTTGGGGGTGGTGCTCATTATGTTAATAGCCTTAGCTGACCTTAAATGTCGTTTTCTTATTGGTCGATCGTTGCGTGGAAACTTGCATAGTGAAACGTGGCACCGTACATAATCCATACACGTACACGTTGTGTGTCTCTGCACACGGCACCAATGCACAAAAACTGTGGTTCCTGTCACGTCCGCAAAAGGCGAATACTGAGCTGCAAATAATTTGATGACGTCCGGATTTACCAAGGTGTGATTGGACACTCCACATATAGCCCCACCTACACTTATCTGTATTCGCATACGAAGTCGTGCGCTAGAAATCCAGCGCAAAATAAAGAAAAACATAAGCTTTTGCCGACGATTGAACCTAGGCTCGAGATCGTCCTCAACTGATTTGCATAAAAAAATAGTGGCCGCATGAGGTCGCTGTTCGCGCTGTATGCATGTGCATAGCCTTGACCAAGGCTAGTATTTGACATACTCCGATGAGCCAGTTAAGTGGGTTAAATTTCATCTGCAAACTGGTTTGCGCACACACAGTCACCGCAGGCCCACGTCTAACACACCTTTATTATCAAGAGGAGGAAAAATTCCTAAAAAAAAAAAAGTTCCAGGTGTATGTGAAAAGCCAATCTCCATTGCAAAAGACTGTAAGCAAAAAAAACTGTGTTAATCCCACGACAAAAGACACATTAAAAAAAAATGGGTTACTGTGTAAGCTGATGAAGAGCACACCAAAAATTGCTACATTTTTCATTTTATTTAAAAATTGGGAAAAAAGGAGAAAATGGGTTAGCAAAAAGCTCAGAGAATGGCATGATGGCAGCGGAGAAGAGGGCCCAATCTTTATAAAACTCACAATGACACTCTGGAGAGGGGAAACGGAGAAAAAGGGAACCCGAATAATTTGAAATTTGTGTATTTTTTGTTGTGTTTTGGTTTTTTGGGATGACGTCTTGAAAGCACTCACTTTTCTTCGACTATGGTCTCGTTTCCTTGGGTCTCCTCGTGAATTATCTTCTCTTCCTCGGCCAAAAAGACGTGGGGCGCGGGGTCTACCGGCACTGCAGCAAGTCAAGAGAGAGGGGGGAGTCAAAAGGCAAAGACCAAGGTACAGGTCAGCAAATTGGGGTTCAAATTGGATTCAAGAAAAAAAGGGGGGGGGGGGAGAGAGAATGTGATGAGGAGGCACATATCGCCGGGTGGAGAATTGGAGGGTCTCGTTGTATTTTTTCCTTCTCAAATGTGACGATTACTAAATCTGTTTGTGTAAATTATGAAGGGACACCAAAAAAATATCATCTTTTTATTTATAGAATGAAGGCTTTGGTTATTGGGAAATAATTTGTCTAACTAGGAAACTATGGCTGAGGATAACACCAAAAAAATAAGTATTCATTCACAACATTACCTTGGTTCTCATCGGAATGAAAAAATTTTGTTTATGTTTCTTGGTTGTATTTTGAGATTAAATGCATGAACTTTTGTTCCCTAGACCATTGAAGATAATTGCTAACATGCTTTTGTACATTATTTGGTAAACAATGATGCAACATATGAAGGGGTACTAGGGCAAAAAAGAGCAATATTTCTGGAGGTTTTTTTAGCCAAAACAATTATGCAAAACAACTGAATAAACCTGAAGAGTCGAACAATTTTTGAAGAAAAAAAACCCAATCTTTGGTTCAAACTAAAAAGTTTGAATTTTACAATTTAACTGAATGAAGTAGATATAACAACATCAATATAACATTATAACATGGGTACCAGTGCAAAACCACGTAGAGTAGGACTATAACTTGATTGGTAACCAACAATATATAAAAAAAAAAAAAAACCTTGGTATTACGTCGGGTTGCTGCCTGATTCCTTTTGTTGCCCAAACTCTTTAGAATAAAGCTTAGAAAATGTTGGCGAAGATTTTGAGATAGTAGACAAGAAGGCTTCCCGTTATGATGCAATTTTTTTTAAAGCATGCTTCACGTGTAGTAGTGTACGTTTCTCTGCAATTAGCGAAGCCCAGAAATTTGATGAATTAAATAATATTTCTGCTGTGAAGAGTTCAGAGATAAATATACAGGCATGACACACAAAAAATAATATAAATTTTAAAAAAAAAATAATAAATAAAGGAAAGAACAGAAATATGCAAAGAAAAAGGAAACAAAATGAAGCACTGGAAATGTTTGGAGAAGATTTGCGTGATTTGTGTTATGGGTAAAAATAATATATTTTGTAAGTTAGTACCCCTCTACAGCTGTGTACAAAAGTTGCAGTTAACATTAAAATTTCAGATGCAGTGTGTGTCAAACCTAGATTTCAATCTACACTACAACACTTTTTATAAATTCAGCGCACATTTCTCAAAGCTTTGTAACACATTTAAGTTACTAACACAACACCCGCACTTCTGTCCATTCTGTAGGATTCCAAATCTGGCCATAAGCCCAACCCACTACCACAGGTGGACAGGTCCAATTTGCCCATTAGCCCCACCCACCACCACAGATCCAAATTTGGCCATGAGGCCCGCCCACTACTGCAAATGGACAGATCCAAATTTGGCCATAAGGCCCACCCACTACTGCAAATGGACAGATCCAAATTTGGCCACAAGGCCCGCCCACTACTGCAAATGGACAGATCCAAATTTGGCCATAAGGCCCACCCACTACTGCAAATGGACAGATCCAAATTTGGCCATAAGGCCCGCCCACTACTGCAAATGGACAGATCCAAATTTGGCCATAAGGCCCACCCACTACTGCAAATGGACAGATCCAAATTTGGCCATAAGGCCCGCCCACTACTGCAAATGGACAGATCCAAATTTGGCCATGAGGCCCGCCCACTACTGCAAATGGACAAATCCAAATTTGGCCATAAGGCCCACCCACTACTGCAAATGGACAGATCCAAATTTGGCCATGAGGCCCGCCCACTACTGCAAATGGACAGATCCAAATTTGGCCATGAGGCCCGCCCACTACTGCAAATGGACAGATCCAAATTTGGCCATAAGGCCCGCCCACTACTTTGAATGGACAGATCCAAATTTGGCCATAACTACTGTGAATGGAGAGTTCCAAATTTGGCCATATGCGCTGCGCACTACGACCGGTGGACAGGTCCAAATTTGGCCATATGCTCCGCCCACTACTACCAGTGGACAGGTCCAAATTTGGCCATATGCGCCGCCCACTACTACCAGTGGACAGGTCCAAATTTAGCCATATGCGCCGCCCACTACTACCAGTGGACAGGTCCAAATTTGGCCATAAGCCCCACCCACTTATGCAAATGCACAGGTCCAAATTCGGCCATATGGCCCACACACCACTACAAATGGACAGGTAAAAATTTGGCAATACGCCCCAACCACTACTGCTTATTGACAGGTTCAAATTTTGCCAAAACCTCCGTCCACCTCGCAATAACACGTGTGTCTCGTCAATGCCACACTACATGCTCCAGCAATGCGCCATGCACAAGGGCAGGCAGGCATGTCATACGTTTTGTGTGACACTTGGTTGAGCAGTCGAAGCTGTGATTGGTAAAAAAAAGTCATGGGGGCGGGGCTTAATGGATAGGTCTATTCTGCAACATTCCGAAAACAGTCTGCAGATTTTGAACTGAAGCATACCCTAAGGCTTAACCCGATACCTTTTTCGATAATCTAACAGAATCCAACTCGTAGGGCAACAGGTCTTACATTCACTGCTCACCGTCAACAAAATATCACAAAAGATGTCCACCGTCAGTGAAAAGGTACAAAATTGGTTTCAGTGATCTTTAGCTTGTTACACCTATAAAAACAACACGAGTATCAAGAATCTCAAACTTTTTTATATAGTCCATCCTCCAAAACATATCTTGCTGGTGTCTCATGAAGTTCTTAGAAAAGCTCTCTTCAGCAAAGGCAAGTTCATGAAAAAAAAAATAATAATACACAGATTTCAAAGAAAACGTTTGTTCAGTCAAACATGCTGCTTTCTTAGAGTAAACTGAACTATGAAAAAGAAATGCTGAAACAGCTTTCAAGACAGTCGGCCATGCGAAATCGCAGCTGCGTCCTCCCACGTGGTCCTAATTACACGGAACTGTCAAGCAGAAAATACCGCTTTGAAAATTTACGCGCTAAGCAAAAATGAGCCGAGAACCAGTCACAGACAATATACATAACATGATATTTTCGCTGGTAATCTTTCCTGCTAAGCACATATTTTCAATGCTTAGCAAATTTCTGTGCTTGGCAGCTCCAAGAATTTGAACCCCGTTCTAAACATTTGAGAGTAAATCGAGTCGACTGGATGAAGAAAATGACATAATCCTGGATACCCAAAACCCAAGCCTACCTGAGTTGATGGTATTCCTGGATCCAACGCTGGTGCAGTAAGCCTCAATCACCTTCAGGATGCGATTGTCTTCCTCTAAGGCTTGGGTGTCTACCCCTTTGTGGGCGGAGCTATCCATCGGGAGGGTCTTGCTCTTCTCGGCTGTTGACAAAAGGTGTAAGGGTTTGCGTTAACCAATCAGCACTTGTATTATACACTGTAATATATTCTGTTTCAGCTCGACCGTGGTCGCCTAAGTAGAAGTAGTATGTACTGTTTTTACTCCCAGATGAAACGATGCTGTGCTTAGGCAGTCTGGGGCAGCATACAGTGACACACCCATTTCAAACTGACATTCTAGAGTCACACCCAACCAGAAGGCATTAAGAGCAACTCAAGTCGACTCAAGAACAATTTGGCTTCAGACATGGGAACTGTACATGGCATGTTTCAATAGACCGCTTGCAGACGCGATCGATAATTGACGCACGAAGGTGCGCGACGCCATGTTGTGGGACAAAATGTGCATGGATAGATATACGCTTGTCCCACAACATGGCGTCGCGCGCCTTCGCGCGTCGATTATCGAACGCATCTGCAAGCGGTCTATTGATTGGACTCATTTCGAACGACTGCAATAGTTGAACTTTTGCATGCAGTCTTTCACAATTATTTTGAACGTGAAACTTATACAAATCTTTGGAAATATTTAGTTAAACGCGACTCTGGCATGCTGGTCTTTCTAGTTGTGTTATAGCATTGCCCAAAAAGTATTAACGTCTGTACAGAGCCAAAATGGCCCATCGGGCTGGCGTTTATTTCCGGTTTCAGTGGCATGAAATTACTGAGATTTCTATTCTCCCTGGATGGGATGCCAGTCCATCGCAGGTTACACCGCATCTTATGCTGGTACCCACTCATACTTTTGGGAAGGGAGAGGCAAGTGGGGGTAAAGTGGCTTGCCCAAGGACACAACATATGGCCAGCAGCTGGATGTGAACCCCTGACCCTTTCCCAAGCCCAAGGGGAAAAAAAGAGATAAACTTTGACCTCTGACCTTTTTTCCTGCTGCCGTGCAGGGCTTTCTTTTTGTTCTTGGGACTCTTGGCCTGTCCTTCCTTCAGAGCCCAGACTGTGATGGGACTGACCGGGGGGCCTGGTCGTAGACAGCTGATAGTCTTCAGCTTCATCTTGGTGAACACCGTCGTCAGCGAGTCCTTGGTCCGGGTCGGGCTGGTGGAGGAGCTGTTACGCTCTTTCCTGGTCAATGACTGGTGTGGGGAGGGGGGAGATCAGAGTAAACTTGGTGAACTTTAGGTTGGGGACAGAACAGTGCTCAAGGCAATCACAAGTTAAAGGGAATGTAAATCATTGGCTTTTTCTGTAATTTTCAGATATGAACTATTTGAGGGGTTAGTATAATAAATCAAATATTGTTACACCGACATGTTTGAAGTTTTGTGTTCCAAAAATGCTGGAAAAACCAAGAAAAACAAAAGCGTTCAAGTAGTCTGGTTCCCTGACTCCACTAAAGATGAAATGGATCAATTTATAGATGCCAGAAAAATGTAAGGTAAGGAAACCAGTCTAGCTGGCCTGCACCCGTTCATGAACATGTAACCAATAGCAAACAAAATTTGGACCCAAAAATTTGTAAATTTGGAGCAGTAGTTGAAAATAGTTAGGTTTTTTCAACAGTGGTCGGCCGACCACCGTTGGAAATTAATACAAAAATACCACTTTTCTTGAAAATGACTTCACACCTGGTGCCATAATTTTACAGGATGCTTTAGACTGTCATTTACCAACATCCTATTAAGGTATTTCGTAAAAACTAGGCAGTTTTGTTTTTCGATGTTTGCAAATGTTGTATATTCCCTTTAATGCCCAGTCAAATTATACTTCTTGTATTCAAGAGTTGTAATCAAAGTCCAAACAAGTCAATCACAAGTCTGCCTGTTTCTGGTCCCATGACAAGCTATTAAAATAAATATGACAAAGACACTTCATCATTGCCGGCCACTGCTATAGAGCCAAAGAGCAAGTTGTCTCCAACCTCATCTGCTGGAGATTGCCTTGCCCCAACAGAGGGCAGAGACCCCTCAACTGAGGCCAAGTTCTGGCAAGGACCATTAGTCGACTAGTGGTTGATTTGTGACATACCTTACGCCTGCGCAGTAATAGCAATGTGCGAACGTCTCTAGTCGAACGCTGGTGTCGCAAAATGTTGTCGCAAAACTTCTGGATCCTGGCTCCCTGCTAGCGTTGTGAATGTGCGCAGCAATTGGTTACCAGCGATGCAACCAGACCCAGCAGGTTGGTTCCAAATAGTCGACTAGCATAGTCAACCACCGTCGACTAAACAGAGTTCGGGCAAGCGTTAGTCGAACTATGGTTAACTACAGTCCTAGCGCGAACTTGGCCTCAGTTGACACTGTATGCAATGATGTGAGCCAGCACGTTGATGACATCACCAAGGCCATGGCGGACAAGAGAGTCTGGAAGAGTTTGGTTGCATCCATCTCGGCTGCGGCCGCCCAATGATGATGATGATGATGATGACTTCATCATTCCCTCCCCGCTACTTGTGACAAGTCTTATGAATTGATTCCCGACTTATTTCTGGTCGCCATTTACGAGTTAGCCACGCCCCTTAGACAACCCTATGGAATTTTTGTACGCTAAGTTTTGTGTGTCTCCGATGTTTCGCGTTTCGCGTCTATTCATATATCATGCTCTTGGACAATATTTCACAAGCTGCGTTGACGCGACTGTACCGCAACAGGTCAACTGACTTCGCTACATAACTGCAGCATACAAATACGCTAAGAGTTGTTGACCCCAACTCTTTTGTCTGAAGGACTCCTCAAGGAAAGAGAAAAAGACAAAACCCAAAATATTGCATGGAGGAACTGGACATTTTTGATACGAGTAGCTCAGTTGGTAGAGCTGAGTTACGGTGTTTCTGCAGTTTCCCTTTGTATTATTTATTTAATAACTTTCAACTGATCATTAATTCGATCAGATATTATACAAGCATTGAGTGGCTCAGAGTGGAATGGGAGTAATATTATCGAAAGAACAAATCTGGACTTTTTAGCCTTGTGAAATGAAACAGTCCAGATTTTACTGAGCGATAAAATTCCTCCCATTTCACAATTTAAAGCAACTCAATTTTTGTTTTATATAAGTGACATATAGATCCTTGTCATTTGATTTACAGTTCAAATGAACTTCTATTTCAATACAAAATTGGTGGGAAATGTATTTCTCTCTTCTAAACCACCCTTTCACGAAATATTTCAACCCACCTCTGTAGCTACTGGCTCTTGGGAACAATACGCACTATGCGAAACATGCAAAGCTCAACACGCACACCAGCATGCATTTGTACACAAATATCGCGCCATGGAACATGTGGAACAAGGATGATCCTAACTGTTGAATAGTAAATCCCATTCACCATGGGCAAATGGGACTTTTTGAGCCCCGGCGTGAATGGGAGCAGTAACGAATGTCACGTGATGTGAGTTTCACCAATCAAATGACAAGGATCTGCATGTCAGTTACATAAGCCTGACTATTGGCCAGTGCGTAAAAAATCCTTAAAAAATGCAGAAAGTCGGCAGACAGTTTTCGGACTTCTAAATTATCCCTTACGTTGCTCTTGGCCTGACTGGCTGCCATCGTGGGCGACTGAGGCAGCATGGCCGGTGACATGGGCGGGACCGGCGTGAGCGGAGTGCTTGGCGTCAACGGTGGCCGGTCCTTGTTCTGCATCTCGTCAATCGTGTCCAGCAGGTCCTCTCTATCCATCAGACTGCCGCAGACGATAGTCTGCCATTCAATGGACCCGCCGGTCAAGTCAAAGGCCACGTAGTTGGGGTTGGTGTCCGGCTGCCGACTAGTCTTGATGGCAGCGAGTGGAATTTTATACTGGACAAAATGGATATAGAAACAAGATTTGTTATTAAGCAGCAACGTTAATCAGTTTCACAGAGGTGCTAATATCTACAGGTTACCAGTCAAAAATAGCATGCAGTGCATATTACCCTTGACTGGTACTCAGCTGATGCGTGCTTAGCACATCAATTTGCCAAGCAGCGTTTTCTGCTAGAAGCTCCATAAAACTGGGCCATGTTCTAATTTGGCAACGGTCTGTTTTAAAGCAAAAACAAACTTGAGCGAAACAATCAAAAGAGTTGTCAGACTGCTTCACTTTACCTCTGACTAATGGAATATTCCACCTACCTGGAAAATGTAGCCATTCATGTGGGCGGTTGCGGACAGTACCACTAGGCAGGAGGGGAACAGAAGCAAGAAGCGTTCTTTCTTGATGCCGTCGACCATTATGGCGGCGTTGATGAATTTGATAATTGTCCCGTATGTATCAATGCCCTGAAAGAAAATCAAAAATAGAAACACATAAGAATGAATGGCTGTTGCGTTTTTGCAAGAAACCTTTCTGAATCCAGTATAAAACAACACTCTTTTGTACTAAGACTTTCCAGGGGCTTCAGATCTCAAGTGAAGTTATACCGATTAGGTTTTACCTTCCTTAATCCTCCAAAATTGTTTAAAAGCCAATGGAGGATTTTAGAAGGATTTTAAGGATTAGAGTGGATTCAAGTATTGCAATATGAAATTATGTTTTGATTCATGCAAAAAATAATAAAGCATTAAGTCTCTTGCCAGTCCACATTTGCTTTTTTATGTGGACGTCTTGGTACCAAACACTGTCTAGTCTAGTCACAGACTCCCATGTTTGAATTTGGTTCTTGGTTCCTGGTTCTTGGTTGGTTCTTCTCCTAAACACTCCACGTGGGAGTTTATACAGGAGGCCAGAAACACCGGGGCAAACCCCTTCTCTTAGCGATAAGTGTTTTACTGGGTTCTTTTACGTGCATTTATGCAACACACGGGACCTACGGCTTAACGTCCCATCCGAAGGACGAAGCAAGAATGGTAAAGTGCCTTGCTTAAGGGCACAAGTGTCCGCCGGCGGGCTCGAACCCACGTCACTGTTGCCTCTGAAACACCAGAACATGAGTCCGGTGCTCTTAACCACTAGGCCATGACATTACCAACTTGTTATCCGTGTGATCGATTGAATGGACGTTGGGCTCAACAGTTTCAATGTTAAAATAGTCATCAATTTTTCTATATTTTCAATACGTTGTAAATTGTAATGCTTTCTTTTCTTTCAAAATACCCATTTATTGCCTTGATGGGATGGGCCCAGTCAGGACACAAAATACAAACAACAGGACGTTACATATGTTGTAGATCCTATACATGGTTACCGGATGTGTTGTATTTTCAAAAATATCGCTGGTTTCTAAGGTCAACTTACACACTCTATTTCAGTACAAGGACAAGCTTTGGCTTTCTGCCAGCCTCTGTCATTCATCACGTTGGTTTTGTAAAGTCCCCTTAATTAAAGGTATAGCCCATCATATGTAATTTGTTCATTTTTTTCGTTTGAAGCAGCAAAAGTGCTCAAGATCTGAAGAAGGGGGCTGAATAACTAACCTGATGAAGTTTCAGCTCAGCTTCAGCTGTATATTTCGAGAAAAACAGCATTCTAGGATTTCGATTTCAAATCAAAAGTCGCTGAATCATGTTTTGAATTGGGCCTGAATTCAGTGTCCGATACACCTTCTTACTGAGCCGATTGCAGCTAAACGCGATGTCGCGCACTGATCCGACGAATTATAGCAACCGTGCGCGAGTGTGCGTCGTGCTAATGCTTGCGCGCGCTTTGCCAAATAACAAAACAAACTACTAATTTGAATTTCCTACGGTGCGTCTTAAGAAGCACCGTTGGAAAGGCCTTTCTTTTGTTGATTTTTTCAAAATGACAGCTTGCCAGAAAGAATAATTTCACAGGGAGTTTAGTCCCCTTACTATCGTTCAACCAAGTATGTTTTTCAACGATAATTACGCCAGTTACTTTTTGGATAGCTGCAAATGATGGACTCTGGCTTTAAAAAAATGTTCATTACTGTTATGATGATGAACGGAAATATATAAATCAAATGAAATCAAATAATCGTCCGGGCAACTACAGAAGATCAAACTGTCCAATTTCAAACGTAAAGTCATTTAGATATCCATTAAAATAAACCGGAAAAAGAGTAAATGGGGGAGGTCTAACAATACAGCAATCTATTATGGAAAGGTCAATTGTCCAAAATAGCGAAGGGGGGTTTTAACGAGTCACTGACTCACCTCCCCTTCCCAGCCTTGTATCGTGCCCGTCATGATCTCCAGCTCAGATTCCTTCAATTTCCTGACTCGTAAACAATGGTTCTGCCGGAAACAAAAAGGAAAAGGAAAAAAAATGATGACAATAGAACTTTGTCATCTCTGCACTGGTGACTAATTCCGCGGCGGTGGTGTAACTGGTACCAGTTGTGGCGGGAGAAATTTGTCATGTCGAAGGGGGTGGGGGGGGGGGGTAACGATGAATTTCTGGATTTAATCTGTCCGGCCGGTCATTAAACATTTAAGAAGAGGGACAGGTGGGACTGGTTCTCAACCTGATGGTCGGGGGAGGGGGGAGGGGGTGGTATAAATAAATATACATGTATTTCTGTAATTTTTTGTTCGGTCTTGAGAATTTAAAAGAAGGAGGGTGGAGCTGGTTCTCAACTTTATGGTTGCCTGGCATAGCGACTTGCTAAGTAAATTTTTCTGCTTAACAATTCTGTGATACATGTATTATCGGAACTGGCCTTCCGTCACTGCTAATTTCATGTTGTTGTTAAGCAATTATAGTTTGCTAAGCAGGGGAAATATATGCTAAGCGAAAACAGGTTACCAACCGAAACATCATGGGTTATGTATTGCTTGTAACTGGTTCTCAGCATTTTTTTGCTTAGTGCGTAAATCTGCTAACCAGTATTTTGACAATAGAACCAAGGCGTGGGAGTTTGGAAGATTTGGGATGGATAGGCCGTTGTTGGAACTAATCAATTATTTAATTTCTAATCAATGATCAATATCACTTACTTTGATATCTCTGTACACCGACACACTGGTCTGAATTTCGATTCTGTCCGAATGTGAACTCTGTAAAATGAAAACAAACAATAATATTCATACAAGGTGAAACCCCTAACTCATGTTAATGACGTCTCCCGCCTCACTGTCAGAAACGATCAGTTTCATTTCAATCACTCGCTCAGAATGACCTCCTGTGACCCGACAAACCTGTCTTACATTAAACTAACTCGGTTAACGGCCTGTCAAATTCAATAAGCAGTTAGCGAGATTATAGGATCGCGTCATTGTGTAGTACACAATGACCTTGATTGACCCGATCGCAACTCAACAAGGTAACACACCTGCGTTCATTTCACTGCATCCTGGGCATGGGAGCAATCTGTGCACAAACCTATGGGGCACTGAACCAGTCAAATTTTTCGGGTTTTTTTCTTCCTCATTATATTTATCCAGAATTTAGTGATGCTCTTTTTACATATTAGTGCGTCGATGTTTTTATATACAGTTATTAGTACCATCAAATTTTTGTTATAGCTGATAAGAATTGAGCAATTTGGTAGCCAAAATACAACAAAAACATCACTGATTACTGTAAGGTTGGGCATGTGTGTTTTTGACACCTGAGGGTGCATGAAAACTTGGTTCACCTCAGATATCGTGTAAAAAAAAATGTCCACGTCATGACTGCCATAATTATAACATGGCTTGTTCCAATCACTTGGCTACACCCAAGAACAACAAGTGTACCTATGGAAGCCACTGGCTAGCAGCAGTAGCCACTTTCCATAGACTTGTGTGTTATTTCTAGCCGTAGCCAAGTAATTCGGGCATGGCCTTACAAGAGAAACTTTGCGAAACATCGGCTTCATCTCAAGGTTTGACTTCTGAATCCCAAACTGAAGTTGAAGCCTAGGTTTCGAAAAATTCCTGAATGGTTTCACCAATGATCACTTACTAATATATGTCTCTCCAGTTCTTGGAAGGAGGAGATGAAGTTGTCTAACCTTCGGAAGGGGTTGCTCAGGCCGACCGTTAACGTCATCATGCCGGGGCTGGCTGCTCCTTTACTCTCCATAAACTTGCCAAGTTCTTCGCTGTAAAGTGGGAAAAGAGAGGAGAGGGGAGAAATATGAGTCAATAATAATATGCTACACAGAATTAGTGGATCTCTGACATGTCTGTACTGATTTGCTGATTTCGTTGGAATTTCAGTAAACTATCCAGCTTAGGAACACCACATCCTTCTGTCCATTACAGCCTTTTGATTTAGACGTTACCTGTAAACTTGCGATACCGGTACATGGACAGCCATAGGATAAATTCAATTTCGGTAAGGAGACCAGCCTAACCCTAACCCCCCAGGCCCTTTAGTTAGGAACCATCCTCAGTCCTGCAAAATCCTCCAATTGCCACCATGTAAAATTTGATTCAGCCTCAGTCCTCTAAAATCATCAGTTATTTCTTGAATTTGTTAAGTGAAGGGGTGACCATTGCCTCAATCCTTCAAAATCCTCCAACAGTCACTGTTAATGGGTTGAGGCAGTGCCGGTGACATTCAGAAGCAGTTTGGATGACATCGAGCATAATGCAGGGCTCAATTATGCATGACTGATAATATATGCTGGGTACAGCCTACAAACTCAACTGACACTTATTTGTCTTTCAGACTCAATTCTCCAAAATCCTCAAAAACAGGCAGATTTTGGAGGATTGAGGAGGGTTACGGTTAAGGACACAAACACCAAGATTTGTGACGTCCCTGTGTTCGTGTTATACATGGACAGCCATGGGATAGATTCAATGTCGGTAAAGTGTCCAGCTGAAGGACACAGATGTGCATGTTACCTGTGGTCTTGTAATACATGGACAGCCATGGGATAGATTCAATGTCGGTAAAGTGTCCAGCTGAAGGACACAGATGTGCATGTTACCTGTGGTCTTGTAATACATGGACAGCCTTAGGATAGATTCAATGTCGGTAAAGTGTCCAGCTAAAGGACACAGATGTGCATGTTACCTGTGGTCTTGTAATACATGCACAACCTTAGGATAGATTTAATGTCGGTAAAGTATCCAGCTGAAGGACACAGATGTGCATGTTACCTGTGGTCTTGTAATACATGGACAGCCTTAGGATAGATTCAATGTCGGTAAAGTGTCCAGCTGAAGGACACAGATGTGCATGTTACCTGTGGTCTTGTAATACATGGACAGCCTTAGGATAGATTCAATGTCGGTAAAGTGTCCAGCTAAAGGACACAGATGTGCATGTTACCGGTACCTGTGATCTTGTAATACATGCACAGCCTTAGGATAGATTTAATGTCGGTAAAGTATCCAGCTGAAGGACACAGATGTGCATGTTACCTGTGGTCTTGTAATACATGGACAGCCTTAGGATAGATTCAATGTCGGTAAAGTATCCAGCTGAAGGACACAGATGTGCATGTTACCTGTGGTCTTGTAATACATGGACAGCCTTAGGATAGATTCAATGTCGGTAAAGTGCATGTTACCTGTGGTCTTGTAATACATGGACAGCCTTAGGACAGATTCAATGTCGGTAAAGTGTCCAGCTAAAGGACACAGATGTGCATGTTACCTGTGGTCTTGTAATACCGGTACATGGACATCCTTAGGATAGATTCAATGTCGGTAAAGAGTCCAGCTGAAGGACACAGATGTGCATGTTACCTGTGGTCTTGTAATACATGGACAGCCATGGGATAGATTCAATGTCGGTAAAGTGTCCAGCTGAAGGACACAGATTTGAATGTTACCTGTGGTCTTGTAATACATGGACAGCCATGGGATAGATTCAATGTCGGTAAAGTGTCCAGCTGAAGGACACAGATGTGCATGTTACCTGTGGTCTTGTAATACATGGACAGCCTTAGGATAGATTCAATGTCGGTAAAGTGTCCAGCTGAAGGACACAGATGTGCATGTTACCTGTGGTCTTGTAATACATGGACAGCCATGGGATAGATTCAATGTCGGTAAAGAGTCCAGCTGAAGGACACAGATGTGCATGTTACCTGTGGTCTTGTAATACATGGACAGCCTTGGGATGGTTGGCACAGTAGCTTGAGTAGAGGGATTTGTACTGTGTCGACGCTCTCATGAAACAGGCTCCAACTCTCTTTTGCCGACTTTCCAGCCTAACGGAAAAAAGAACAAGAAAATAAATAAATAAATAAGCAGATATAATGTGCATGTAAACAGCACAAGTGTCAGCAAGGTTGGTACTATCACAAATACAAAATGTATACCATGAATATTTTTCATCTCAAATGACTGTGAAACTGAAATGTCATTTCAACTTCAAATTAATTTAAATTACACCAATATTTCCTCGTTTTACATGATGTAATCGCATCGGTTTTCCTACCTACCCTATTTTGACAGCCCCTACCCTTATTTGAAAAAAAAAATGATGGAAAAACCCCAAAACTCGTCAAAAAGTGCCTTTTACCCTTGACTACACGCAGACACCTCCATACGATCGTACACGAAACAAAATTGCCAAAACAAAATTCCCTACCTACGTACCCTATTTTCAAGTGCCATGAAATCGGAAGCAGAAGTATTTTTTTTGGTGGGGGGGGGGGGCCTAATTACATAATCTGCTTAGATTCATAAAACTTATGCTGTTCTTCTTGCGGTTACATTTTTAGTTTCACAATGTACGTACATACAACTATGAAATATTACAACATAAACACTTATCCTTAAAATCATATTTAAATTACCACAATAAAATATGTTAATAATTCATAAATTTTTTATCCTTATCTACCCCTAATAAGACAAAGTGTAACACCTGGTTTTTGTAGTGATTTGAAAAAAATCTTTTTGAATGTCAATTCCACTTACATGTACATGTACCATTGCTTTACATAGCCTCAAATGGTTAGAGCACAAAGTTTGATGCCACAAGCTTCCACGAAAAAAAAAAAATTAAAATATAAATTAAACTGGCCTGTCCCTTTAATATCCTTATTGCAATATGGCCCACAGGTATTCAAATTTGACTGGAAATGAATAAAAATCTGATAAAGAGGAAAATAGGGAGAAAAAAAAATTGGCCGGGTAAAAGGGGAACAGGAAATGGACAATGTGGAGGGGTGAGTGAGCGTAGACCAACCATGCAGGGACCATGGAGGAAATAAGGGTGCTTGGATGTGTTTCCTGAACATGTGTTGGGCAGATAAACGGGCATTCAAGGGCTAGCCGGTGACGTGTGGGGACTGTAAGCAGACTTAAGGATTTCAAAGGCTGCTGTGGGAATGCTAATCCCGTAACCATTTAAGATTATCATGGCCACAGTGCTTTTTTTGCTATTCAAATCAACGTAACCAATGCGAGGCTTGAAGGAAAATTCGTCTGGTTCCTTTTTTTTGCACAAAAACATTATCATTCGGTACTGTTATTGGATACAGGAAACATGACTGAAATGGTGGCAGCATGATAAAGATCTGTTGTGGACAATAAGCCATTCTCTTGGATGAAACTAGACGCAATAACTGCTCCGGCAAAAGTAATATAAAATTGATCAAAAGTTACACAAATTCATGACATCACAGCAAGTTTTCACTCAGCGAATTCGTAAAAGTCGAACGCGTGTCAACTCCGGGGAAATTTGCAGCGAAAGTTTCCTGATGCCACATTTGCCTCACACTGGCATTCTCGTGATAATAAATCGGCGTCAACTTTTCAGCCGTCACAGAATGTGCACTGAGGGAAGGGAAAACTCATTTGGACACTTTAGTGAAAAGAAAATATTTAAGGATCATTTTGTAGGAGCAAGTACATGTAACAACAGTAAATCACTCGGGAAAATACATGTGTAAGATTCATTTGAAACTGGAAACATTTGGCCTTGTAAAATGACGTTTTAGGCGAAGTAAAAAAAAAAACATGTTTAGCGTCCCCGCCCGCTTCCTTTTTTGAGGCTGCCTCCTTTTTTTTTTTTTTTTTTTTTTTTTAGAGACAAAAATTGATAAATTTTAACGATCTCTGACGAAAGAAATCGTATTTTTAGACTTTTATACCGTGTATAAAGCTGTGGAAATAGTCAATTAGCACGTGCGTCTGCACGAGAGTCTATCATACATTCACCCCGTGTGAAATAGTAACTGGTTCTCTACGTCTCAGAACTCAGGAATAGCAAATAGAAAAGTGTTGAAAGACAAGGAGAACACGGAAACCAGCGTACGTGTAAACGTATTACCATTTTTACAGTCGCTTGAAAATTTATAGTACATCCGCGTGCAGTTGTTCTGCGCATAGTTACATCATTTTGGTCTCATTTTCTGTTGCATCTTGCCCATAAGAAGCCAATATGTCATTTCCTGAGTCCAAGTGGCGGCCATTTTGAAAAAAGCTGGTAACCATCTTGAAAAATAGCCCGGCCGCGTTGTCTTGAAAAATGTGTCGGACGGCCATTTTGAAAAAAAAAAAGAAAAAAAAAAGGGTCTCCTCCTTCCTTTTTGTCAAAGAGGCAGGACGCTAAACATGTTTTTTTTTTATTTTGCCTTATATCAAATCAATTGAAATCCTTGTACCAGTACCTGTACATGTATGTGTAAATATGCTCCAAATGTCAACTGTGTACCTCACAATGACATTGTAAGACCTATTTCATACATGTACATGTATATTAAATATTTTCAAACTTCTCAGAAATGTGCACATTCATTGTACATCATGCCAAATACATTGAACATGCACATGTGGGCGGGCCGTCACCGTGTTCTGGGGATGTTTTTTATTGTTAGGCAAATTTGGACCGAGTTATGGGGACTTTCTGCTGTCCCCACAGCGTCTTTGGTCCTCATAGTTTCATGGGACAACTTAAAGGGAATATACAACATTTGCAAACATCGAAAAATAAAACTACCAAGTTTTTATGAAATACCTTACTAGGATGTTGGTAAATGTCAGTCTAAAGCATCCTGTAAAATTATGGCACCAGGTGTGAAGTCATTTTCAAGAAAATGGTATTTTTGTGTACATTTCCAATGGTGGTCGGCCGACCACCGTTGGAAAAACCGAACTATTTTTCAACTACTGCTCCAAATTTACAAAAAATTTTCAGTCCAAATTTTGTTTGCTATTGGTTATATGTTCATGAACGGGTGCAGGCCAGCTACACTGGTTCCCTGACCTTACAATTTTCCGACATCTATAATTGATCCATTTTATCTTTAGTGGAGTCAGGGAACAAGACTACATAAACAGTTGTGTTTTTCTTGGTTTTTCAAGCATTTTCGAACACAAAACTTCAAACATGTCAGTTAAACAATATTTGATCTATTATACCGGTACCATACTAACCCCTCACATAGTTCATTTCTGAAAATTACAGCAAAAGCCAATGATGTACATTCCCTTTAACTCATGTGTAGTCCCCACAACAAGGCAACAAGTATGCATGCACTCATGTACTGTACACATGGTACATGTGTAAGTAAATTATCTAAATCATTTAAGCATAGAGCAAGCCACCACTTTCAGGTTTGGGTATTGTGTGGTCTCTGACTAACTGGTTTTTTTCACAGAACATACAGTAAACAAACAAGCACTACGGTATAAACAAGAGCACCAATGTGGTAACCGGACTGCCCAATGAGGTGTAACATGTAAACAACAAGTTAAGGATGTGGTGACCAGTCTTTGGTGACTAACTGCCAACAACAAAACTGCTTTTATCACAGAGTTCATTGAACTGTGATGGGTACATGTAGCGGTACACTGAACATTTTAGTTTAAGTATTTTTCTGACAGAAAGCCTAAAGGCAAAACACAAAAAAACTTTACCTTTTTTCAAAAGTCAATTCCTGTGTAAGCAATTTTGTGGATTTTTTCCAAGCACCGATATTTGTTCAGATTAGAGAAATTGGCTAAACACAAATACATGTATACACTTACATGTATATTATGTAACGAAAGACCATTGCATGTATTTGTCACATATATGCAAGCTTCTTGACTGAATTTTGAACTAAGTACGCAGATTTATAGGAGAAAAATATTTTCAGCTCAAGGTATTACTCTAAAGCAATTGCTACATACATGTAAACTGAGATTTCAGTATTTAGTTTTGTCCTTCACCAATATTTTTTTAAATTATGCATATATATGAATGTAACAAAAAAATATGAAATTCCAAGCTTTACAAGACTTAATACAGTGTTTAAAATGTTCTAATGAAGAGAAAATCAAAGAACTCAGCTGATTTAAGGAAAAATTGCATACATTTGTATACGCACTTGTTTTTATATGCATGGTCAAGCTGGTTTAATGTTTATGTAGGACTCGAACCCATGACCTCTTGCTCGCTAGAGCAGACAACTTGAGCTTAAACCACTCATGCAATGCGCCTGCCATGGTAGACTGGCCGGCAATACCAAACATCAAAATTTACACCACCCCAACCTAAATTCCCAAACTTGAGACTTTGTTTTCTGCAATTTTAGCAAAATAATACTGAGGTTATCCCTTAAAATTCTACCGTTTTTTTTCTCTGAATTGGGAAACAGAGTGGAAGGAAAAGGGTTATGAGAGGATTCCATTTAGAAGCTCTCAGAAGTTTGATAACGGCGGAAACGGCTTGTCGCTGGGGAAGAAATTAGAGTTTGGGTCTGGAATTACGCCATGACCTTCAGGATGCACAGAGGAACATGTGTGGAATTACGCCAATGTACATGTACATGTACATGCACACCACAATGCAGGAGACGGTGATCAGACTGGTTCCGCCGTCCAGTGTATAAGATATTACTCATAGGTCTGGCACCTCGCCAATGTCCCAGACGCCATACTGGGTGTTCGATACATGTGGGTGGAACCACAAAGTCAAGGTATTACAATGTACATGTACATTATGGTAGGGTACATGCGTACTGTACATGTACATTTTCTGCATGTTCTGTGACGACGCTTTTTCTTGGAATATGCTACTGGTACATGTACCGGGTAGTAAAATGACTTTATACTTTTACAGGTATTTCTATTTCCTTTAGTTTGTGTGGTCTAGTATTCACGTTCAGTTAGGAAAAAAGCAAATGACGATTTACTTGACCAGCAAAATTTACTTGACCAACTAGCTATTATATCATTGAAACAAAATACAATTATGAAAAAGTATTGCATTAAGATAAAATTTAGGTTCAGGAAAGACATTCACTGGAATGGTATGTGAACCGTTGACTTTGTGTTTGAAATTAGTTACTTTTGACTTTTACGAAGTGCTATAATTTGATCTCTGAAGTGACAGAAGAGATGAAACAATTATAGACATCCAAATAAACAGACTGCATGCCAATGTCTTAATTGAAAATGTACAACTGTGCTTATTTTCAAAAATCAGAAATTCAAAACTAATTAGTTTGGACTCACTTGGCGGTTTCTTCTAGCGACGCCAGCAGCGATTGCTGGAATGTTAGCAGCTCCTCGATGTTTCCGCAGAGCAGGGTAAAATCGCTCGCTGACAAGCTGACAGGGCAACAAATAAACAAACAGAAACATTTCAGTTTTAAAAAAAGCAGGTACAAGAGGTCAGGAAGAAGTTAAGTTTAAAATGGTTGATCGCTTCCTTAAAGGATGAACAGTGGTGGAATGCCGGTCCCAAATTTGGAAGTGGAGTTGTTTTGTCGACTCTAAGCTCGAAAATCCACTGGTGGTTTTGGATGATTTGTGCAGAATTGAGGAAAGTCAAGTCAAGTCACTATAAATAGTGATTTGTTCAAGTAATAATTACATGTACTGTACTTGAAACTTGAATGTGCAAATTTGGTTCTTGCAAATTAAAAAAAGCTGTTGTTACTCCTTAGCAGATGAATTAAAAGTCCACGCCCTGCAACCTCAAAAGGTCACTAAAGTAAATATCTCAACTACCTACACGAAGCCACAAAAACTGCATTTTTCCTCCATTTCAAAAAGAAAAGGAAAGCCACAACCCCCTTTTCACATTTTGCCACGATGAATATCAATCAACGTTTACACCTGAGCCAACAAAGCATTGTTTGATGACTAAATAACTAACCTTACTGAGAAAAGATTACAAATCCAAGGAACAAAGAAACGGTGATGAGACAAATGAAAACAGAAGCCAAAGAATAATGTAAGTTTACCTTCAGTTTCTCAAAGCCCCACTTAAATCAATATGGGATTTTTGTGCCCCGGGTTCTCAACTTGTGATTTCTGTCTCACAGTTCGATAACACTGTTTCCTCCTGAAAGATTTGCACTTTTTCTCCCTCTTAAGACAACATCAAATTTTTCTTCAAAACACAAGGTGACACTGGCAAGACTAAAGATGTTTATTTGTTCATTCTATCGATTTCTGGCTTTTGACCCTGAAAAGATGAATCTCTTGTTTTTGCTCAACCCCTAAAAGCTACAAACGGTATGATCTGAGGTTCAGGGGTCAAATATACAAATTGAGAGGGAAAAAGGGTTTATAAAATTACTATTCTCAGAGAAGGATAGAGTGTTATGACAAAAAAATCCAGGTATGCCATGGATGGCTGACGTTTAGGCCACGTTAATTGATCCATGACATGGAACTATAACAAATAACTTCAAAAAATGAAGGCAAGGCCACAAAGACTGCAATCCAATTAAATCAGAATTTGAAAGTTCAGTACCACAATAAAAGAACCTTTAAAAGCGTGATTGACTTACATATTGGCTGATTCTAGGGGCCTTAAATAAGTTGTTAATAACGACCTCAATTCTTGCTCATGCTTTCTCTCCGACTCCAGCAGCGCTTGTACAACCTGTCAAAACAAACCGGAAAGTTTCTGACAATTAATATGGAATTAAGAAAGCATCAGTATCATCTGATTTCTTGATGTGTTCATTTTCATTTTCAGTCTATTAAAGGGAAAATACAACATTTGCAAACATCAAAAAATAAAACTACCAAATCATTTTGAAATACCTTGCTGGACTGTTAGTGAATGACAGTGTAAAGCATCCTGTAAAATCATGGCACCTGGTATACTGTCATTTTCAAGAAAAGTGGTATTTTTGTATCAATTTCCAACGCTGATCGGCCGATCAGCGTTGAAAACAACTGGCTTTTTTTCAAATACTGGCCCCAATTGACCACCGCACTTGTTGGCAATCGATTACACACCTATGAACGGGTACAATCCAGCTAGACTGGTTCCCTGACCTTACAATTCCCCAATGTATGTAAACTGCTCTGTTTCTTCTTATATGGAGTCAGGGAACCAGACTACAGGAAAATGATCGTTTTTTCTTGGTTTTTATAGCATTTTTGAACCCAAAACCTCAAAAAAGTCAGCGTAACTATAATTTGCTCTATATATCTAACCCCCCAGTTCCATCCATTTCTGAAAATTACAGCAAAAGCAAATGATGTATATTCCCTTTAAGTAACAATTTAAAAGTAATTGCCACAAATTACACTTGAATTTAATCACAGCTTAAATTTTTTTGTTCAATTTAAAGAGAAAACATGACTTTACTGAAGCCTACTTGCACTTGGAGTCAATTTCATTTTAGTCTTTTCCTTGAGTTTTTTTTTGAGAGTTTAAGGATTAAAAATCCTACTTCTTGACAATGTTACGAGGATTTCAAGTCTGTTTTGCATCCATACATACCTGCTCATAGTACTTCAGTTTTTCTTTCTCTTCCAATGTTTCTTCATTAGTCTTGGGTGTGCCATCTAAAAAAAAAAAAAAGAGCATGAAAATTGCTTTAAATATTTTTCTCAAAACACTTGCAAACAAAATATTAATATTATTTTTAATTGGTACTTACACATCAGTATTCAAAGAACATTTAAACTCTGTATTCTGTCATTTTTTGCCATGAAATTTGAACAAATGAAATCATACCACTTGTACATGTACACATTTACAGTACATGTACATGTACAATGTACTTTGCATACATGTATATAGTGTACATGTACCGTAAGTACATGTACATGTATGTAAGTGTACACATACATGTAGGTACATGAACGCAAGATTATTATTCAACATATTTTAAAAAGTCACAATGATATAAAGAGATGTTGGCACTCACAAGTTTAACCAAAACGTATACATGTATGAGTGCTTAAAATTACAACACCAACTTGTACAGTATCATTTGTTCCCCTAGGGCATAAAAATGCTATTGACAACACCATATACTAGTACTAGACAACAGTTGTAAACTTAACTGGTAGCCATTTGCCTGTTGGATAATTATTGTCAAATTCTTTGAAAATGTATTTTTTTGGGGGGGGGGGGGCTATTTTAGAGGGTTTGAACTGTCCCAACAGTAAATTCCAAGGAGATGGCACAAAGAAATTATGAAAACACTCAAAAACCAGACCAACCAAATCCTAATTAGATCTGCTATGTCAACACAGCAGCTTGTACACATTCTGTGCTAACACTGCTAATCACGCTTTAATAAATTGTAGTTTCCTTTGTAACAAAGCACCCGGCATAGAAACTGAAACTCACAATCAAAAAAGTAAGAAGTCTTCTTTCCTTGCCCCAGGTCGAGGGGGCTGGTGGTGCAAGAACACAGGCAACACTTCATTGCGGTGGTACCCCTGGGTGACTCACAATGTAGGAGAATCCTCATGGGTGACCCGAGGGGGTAACGGAGGGGTGAGTTGACCCAATGTTTCGGTGTGCGACAGGGAAGATAACAAGAGCCAAAGATTGGGTACAATGTATCCAAGGAGGACAACTAGGCTCTCAAGAGATGAAGCTTGTCAAAGCACTCGTGGTGTTAATCCATGTTCGTGTTTGTGCAACAACTTTAACGGTGTGTGTGTGCATGGATGTATCTGTGGTCCATCTGAGAGGCATACATTGTAACTAACATGACACGGGTCTCTGCTCAAAAAATTACAAAATAATCTTGAGGTGTTACATTTATTTGGATTCTCTTAATATTATCCATGGCGAACAAAAAAGCTGAACTGAGGCCTACATGTTTTTGCACATGTAAACATGACAAATCCTGCGTATATTGGAGACATGGGGATAACACAAGACTTTCATGACAATCTTTTTCAGTTGCCCCACGAAAGAAATTTTTTGAAGTTGGCAAGTAGCAAGTAGAGCCGTGTTCACATTGGACTTTTTTGGGCAAAACTATGGAGGAAACTAATGGAGACAGTCGTCAACTTTACAGAGACTTGTCAACTTATCCAAAAAGTCCAGTGCGGACAGCCAGTAAACCTCCTAAATTGTCCAGTGTCGACTGTAAGTTTTTACGTCCAACAGATCCGATTCTTGTAAATCTGATTCGTGTTAAAATCATCCAGCGAGCAACACCTTCGGCGAGCTCCACACATAATTTTTCCGTGTCTTGACACAATGGGTGAGGAAACGGACCCAATCCTCAACACTTTTCCACTTGCCACGTTTCTCTCAGCTCAAAGATTGATGCCGCACTTTCAACTGGGGAAAGCAGATTTTCCAAGTAAGCATGGCAGCTGAACGAAAAATCACTTCTGACGAAAAAAAATTGTTATTAGTGTCAATCAGTGTCGGCACGATACACACTCATAGAGGGCAATGTTGAAAACAGATTCAATGCTGGTGTGGCTAACTTGTTCAGGAACTACCCGAGTTGAAGGTATCGGTATGTGAATATCTTCTCAGCCATTTGTCAGCTTGGAGCAACTCTGCAAAATAGTTGCAGACTCCCACCGCAACTACCACCAACACTGCTGTGAAAGTACCAAAACAATCGTCTGCCTGCCGACACGCACACATGCACACGTGTTCATCTGTACAGGCCTCCAACAGAAAACAGCAGGGCTGGGGATTAAATAACAAAGCTGTACCAATTGAATTCCTCTACCAGGTTTTTTTTTTTATCAGAACTGAAGCCCAAGGTGAGGGCAAGCAAGCGCAACGCAAAGCTCCTCCTTTCAATGCTGGCAAAACAAACCAGTCCAGTGATTTTGACTTTACATAGGGGTACATTTACATGTACACCCCTCTCTCAACAATATCACCGGTCATGTGTATGTGCAACGACGCTGGAATTCTGTTTTCTAGACCACCGAGTTCAAACAGAAAAACACCAGATCTGGAGTCATTCATGACAAACGCACTGCGACCACCAGCTTCACCGTTACCGCCACTGACAAAGTTGATATAGTCAAAATACCAGGGTTAGTAGTAAGCAGTCATGCAGGATGGAGGGCAGACAGGCAGATACACGGCGGCGTACAACAACAGTCAACACAGGTGATGATGTCAGGGTGAAAACATGGGGGTACCCTGACCTAAACACAACAGGTCATGTCACGTTGACCTCTGTGAAAGTTCGCCTGGGACATTCACGAATATTCATGACTTCTGGTTTACCACATATCAAAAACTGATACAATGAATAGTGGCATGTTATCTGTAAAAAAAAAGGTTGTGACATTTGACAGTTGATCCCCATAACTTGGGGACTACTCATTGGGTAATTACAGTTTTTCTATTGTAATAACCGAAGTGGTGTGGATTACAAGTTGGGGATCAGGCCAAAAAAAAAAAAAAATAGTTCTGCTTCCGGTTTCCCTACCTACCCTATTCTGACAGCCCCTACTTAATTTGTTTACGGGAAAAAATGGGGAAAAAACACACCAAACCATCAATTTATACCTTTTACCCGTGACTACACGCAGGCGCCTCCATATGATTGTACACACACAAAAATGGCCCCCCCCCCAAAAAAAAATTCCCTACCTACCTACCCTATTTTCGAATGCCATGTAATCGGAAGCAGAACTTTTTTCTTTTGGCCTTACAAGTTGAGGAATACCGTTGAAAATTGGCATGATGTCGACATGATCACATGTTGTCAATCAAAGATTATTAAAATCTCCTGTGACAAAGGCATTCCTTTACCATTGTTCATTGTTCAGATTTATTTCTTATTTGATTTGTAATTGACTTGAATTTTTCTCTTGCAAATGTTCATGCAAAAGTGTCAGAAGTAAAATAAATTTGACACTAATTTTTGTTTCATAAGATGATATTTGGCGTCGGAGTGATGTTCAAATTCGTTTTTTTATACGTCGGTGAAGGGCAAAACCTAATTTAATTTGTTTTTAGATGGCATTTTTTTCAAAAGAGCTTGCAGCTCTTTCTCACGATTCTGCAGCCCTGTCAAACCAATCATCTGGAGAAATCTGACAGTATTTTAGGAAACTCGACATCACAATTTGATGTGAGACTTCCCCGGTTTCCAAGAAAAACAAAATGTCAGTTTCCTTGTACAAAAAGGAACACCACAGTCAAACTCAGTCAGTCTTAAAGTACATCAGGCCGCTTCTGAACTGAATCAGAACTCACAAGTTTGAGGCTCACTAGCTCAAGGTTAAACCCAACTCCCTTTCAAATCATTAAAAAAAAACACAAAAAAACGCTGGACACTTTGACATTTACAAATTGTAATGTGCAACCTTCATCTATAAAAAGATTTCTTGATTTGGAGTAAAGTACACAACACATGTACGGTACACTAAAGTAGGATTTCAGTTTGCCACAGTGCACTGGGTTAGAATCCCACCCAGGGCAAAATGTGGACAAGGTTTTCAACATTTGCTTGATATCATGTGTTTGACGTGTAATGCCAGGCTGAATCTTCATCCCGCCTCTAAAAACTAAACAATTTTTTAGCGTCTTATCTTCCGGCTTCCGAGCTACAGTGCTATTAAGTTAGAGGTGTGAATTTACGGGTAGTACGGGGAGGACCAGTTACCCTACTGAAGTAAAACATGGGTATCCGGGAACCCGTAAAAGACAGTCTCATCAAAACTGAAGATGACAACAAAACGCAACCTGGTAAATTCCCTCTATTGTCAGGAACTCTAGTCCTTAAAGGGAATATACATCATTGGCTTTTGCTGTAATTTTCAGAAATGAACTATTTGAGGGGTTAGTATAATAGATCAAATATTGTTTATATGACATGTTTAAAGTTTTGTGTTCGAAAAAGCTGGAAAAACCAAGAAAAACAGTACTGTTCAAGTAGTCTGGTTCCCTGACTCCACTAAATATAAAATGGATCAATTTACAGATGCCGGAAAATTGTAAGGTAAGGGTACCAGTCTAGCTGGCCTGCACCCGTTCATGAACATGTAACCAATAGCAAACAAAATTTGGACTGAATTAATGGTAAATTTGGAGCAGTAGTTGAAAAATAGTTAGGTTTTTTCCAATGGTGGTCGGCCGACCACCGCTGGAATTTTTTACAGAAATACCATTTTCTTGAAAATGACGTCACACCAGGTTTCATAATTTTACAGGATGTTTTAGACTGTTATTTACCAACATCCTATTAAGGTATTTCGTAAAAACTTGGAAGTTTTATTTTTCGATGTTTGCAAATGTTGTATATTCCCTTTAACAAAACTTAACAAACTGGTGTGGAATATTGGCAATGTCTAAAGGGTTTTATAGCTTAACGCTAGCATCATCTGTAAAAAAAAATATAAAAAAATAAATGTCAAATTTTGTTTTGGTCTTCCATGTAGCCTGGTATTCATTGTGAAAAATCCGCACCTTTCATTGTCTGAGAAGTTCTTAAATAATTTGTTAGGTTAGTTACGGGTACCCGGTCCCATAATCTGGAACTAGTTCCATGGGCGTCTCGAGGCCCCCCCCCCCCCCCCTAGAAAAGCAAGAAAAAAAAGAAGAAAAAAAGAAAAAG